TGAGAAATTCAGTGACATGAATCAGCTGAGATTCTGCTTGGAAGACAGATAGCAGTTATGACTGAGTACCTGCAGTTTTCAAGGAGATAAAAAAAACAAACTTTTTTTTGTACCAGGTTGTAAACATGTTGTGTTTTTTCCTTGTCACAAAGTTTATTATTTTAACATGCGAGTCTGTGGGGGTTGCCATGGTGCTTACATTTCACCTTCTTCTTTTAGTATCTCTATCGCAACTACTAGCATTTGTTTTACCGTTTACACTATTTGACATATTTCAGTTACATATTTCGAGTGCTGAGCATGTGTAGCCTCTTGGTTATCCCTACGGCACCTCCATAAACAAGACTATTCCCTAAACGCGTTTTAAAGCCGCAACCACAGCTATAAGCCGCAGCTCTTTCTCCCCCACTTTGTTATTTCCGCTGCTGACAAAACTAGATACGTGCAAGCAGAAGGGCAGAAATTCCACCAAGCCTGCTCATTAAGAGGCTGAGCATGGACATCAAAGGATTATTTACACTTATTAATTTCCCTCACATAGGACTCCAAATATCTTGTTATTCAACCAGACTGAGCTTCAGTGCACTGTACCTGTTCCTGATTCAGTGGTCAACTTATCTTTTCTCAATCAGCTACCCCAGGATCCCACCGTCATCTACCTGTACATACTGCGGAGAGCCGGTGGGAAATGATGCCAAGATTACCATTGAGCACCTCAACATCAACTGCCATCCTTCCTGCTTCAAGGTAATTTACTCAGATACAACATTGAATAATTTTTTTCCTAAATAATACCGCAAAGAAAATACACCTTTAAAAAAAATTGTTTGGCGAATCAAAAATAGCGTCTTTGCCATCAGCGGTAACATAAATCATATTTGTTGTTATTGCCAGTCCAGGCAAGTTTAACCAGATAATTACGTTTTTGTGGCTCAAATCGTTTTCCTGCAAAAATTTCTCATCAAGGCGTTATCACGTGGTTTGCTTATCTTTCAGTGTGATGTGTGTAAGAAACCCATGGGAGACCTTCTCCACAGTATGTTCCTGCACGGTGGGAAAGTCCACTGCGAGACCTGCTACAGGGCCATCTGATCATCAAGAGCTTCGCAGACCTCCTCTCTCTCCTTTCTGTCACGTTAATTCGCACACAAAGCGAGAACTGCTCTTTTTTTCCAAAGTTTGCACTGCATTTGTTTGAACTTCTGATTAATGTAGCTTAAAGTGACCCGCGAGTATGATTTCTTAAACTTGATAATGACATATTTTAAAACCTTGTGTTGTGTTTTGATGGTGGTGAAAGCTTTATCTGCTTCGGTTTACTATGAAGGATACGTCTGTCCAACATCACACACTGACGTGAACAGACTAATACTGGTGAGAGGGATACAAGAATTTAGCAACAAGAGAAAATTTTAAAAAAAAGAACTTGGTTACAAAATGTTTACTTAATTTTTGCTCTTCTTGATACAAAATAGTGTTTGCATGTATGATGCTTTGTTAGCAAAATAAAACAATTTCTATAATCCTGGTGTAAACATGTCATATAAAAGTAGTTTGCTACCAGATACATGAGTCTCAAGAGTGTTTCAGAAAAGAATGATTGGTAGTTATTGCACATGATCCTAAATGATGTAACAGAAAATTGTCAGACAAGGTGATATTCTAACATAAAAATCAGAGTTTTTCCAAGCTGAGCTGATCCTGAGAACTCTGGTAACATCCCAATGCGAGGTTGTACTAAATTTACATTTGCACCTCTCCTCTGCTTGGCAAAATAATATTTTGCTTGCATAGTCACAATAGCTTTGCAACTAAATGGGATTTTAGCTAATAGCCATCAGCTACCTGCTGAGTAACTGTAAAGAAGCTGATGCAGTCGTTTGGCTACCGTCTTGATGGTCTTCACACACAGTTAGGCAGAGCTCCCGCGGTACAGAGGACAAGTCTTTGGCTCTGCCCCAGTCTAATGAAAAGGCGCATCCCATGAGAGTGTGCCCATTTGGGACAATAGTCCTCCAAGTAGTTAATACTAACTATGGGCAATATAATGGAACCTCAGCTACGGTGATAAAACCGGTTGGAAAATATTCGCATATAAAAGTCTAGAACGTTATTTTCCCATTACTGAGCGTGGGATGAAGGCAAAGTTTAACGTCAGCTCAACAAAATAGCAAAATTTGTTTCAGGATAACTAAACTACTCACATGGGTAAAAAGGGGGTGGGGTTGGCTTGGGTGCAAAACTATGAGCAATGTGTACTTCATTCCCTCATTTAAACAAGAGGGGGGGATACATAATCTGGGGCACTCCTATAATCCTGGACGGACTCCATCCTCTGTTTGTTTCAAGGCCTGTGTCAGTGTTTTCCTTTGGCTCTGCTCACAGCAATGCTTTGGATGTGCTTCCACAGCAGAGAAGGGTCTGACTCGTTGTGTCTTATCAGAGACTCCAGCCCCTCTGCTTGGTCGAGGCTCTGCCAGTAATCCTGAGGCCATATTTGCAACCATCTGCAGACAGATAAACAAACAGATTAGGCTCATCACAGAGGATATTTTAATTAGACTATTAAAAACAGACCGATTCCACTCCCCGCAGGACATTATTGTTCACATTTCAGTGCAGGGAAAAAAAAATTATGTCAACACCTGGTGCTGGGATTCATTTAAAGACAAACTCACCCATCATCTGAAGGTAAGTCTTTGACGTCTCCATATCCCGGACTGGGGAGCGAGCAACCCATGTGAGAGTTATTAGCCATTTTAGGCCGAGGTGGTTGATTCGTCTTAGGGGCCTTTTTATGTGCATGCTCTGCAGCTAATCGAGCATTCTCCTGGTCACATACGTAACATTCAAATCCATTTAGGTAGTTGGGTTTACTCATGTCATTCACCCCCCACTCGCGGGTCTTTAGTGACTCTAGCAAACGAGTATTAGTGATGCGGCTGGGGTTCTTGAACTCTAAATATTTAGCATATTCATCGTCATTCTCGTCCAGATGTATGAGGAAGTCAGCAAGAGCTTTGGGTGAGGGGAAGTCATCTATGATGATCACCGAGCGGTCGTTGGGCATCCAGTCCGCCACCGCGGAGGCACCTCGATAAATGGGAACGCACCCCTGGTGGAGAGGCCGCCACAGCTTCTCAGTCATGTAATCTGGACACAGGCCATTCTCCAGAGCCAGGTGGAACTTGTAGCGCGCCACAAAATTCATGAATTTTGGTTCTTCACCGGTAGCAGTGGCCGTGTCCTCCAGATATTCTGGTAGGGGTTTGTTGTTCAAGCATTTCCCATAAGAATCGATCTACACAGAGATAATGTTTGGAAAGATGGGAGACACAGTTAGGGCATATCTGGGAACAAATTAATTATTAAACAATGACAGATTTGGCTGTTCCACTGAGTATTTTCTATACAAAACATTTACACATTTGCTATTGCAATTGGAAGCACAAAGAGTAAGTTAGTGATTTTTATCTGCTGTGCAGTGCGTAATAAAATAAGAAGAGATATTTACCACTGAGAAAGAATCTCAGCATTTGTGTAAAGCAGAAAAAAACATTAAGGGTAAGGGACCGCTATATCTTTCATTAAAAAAAACAAAAACAAAAAAACACAGGACCATAATCTCTTTCACTGTGGTTATTACACAGCTGAATTATTCTGCACTTTACCTTTATGTACTTCATGAGCTCCTTTACATATCTGTCTCTGTCTGACGGCACATCACAGTGAGACTGCATGTAGAGCACTGGAGCCAGACCCTCCCTCCTCAGGCGGTTCTTCTCTTCTAAGGACACAGCTACAGGCTCCAGCAAGTACTCCAGAGAAGGAAGCCACTGAAGGGTCAAGGGGTAGTCTGACTCCCTGCGAAACGTAGCGGTGTAATTGAACAGCCGGATTCCCGGCCCATGAGAGAGGACATAGTTATTCATAGGTGACTCTTCGTGGAACAGTGCCCAGGTTTGGTGGTGGAGACGAGGGAGAGGCGCCTCATATGCCCGGAAGTCTGTCCCATAAAAGATGATGGATGTTGTCCGTTTGTACAGCTGCACCTTTCAAGATCAAACCCAAGATTAGTTGCAGAGCAACCCGAGAAGCTAATTATTATTAATGTGTACATGCATCTTCCTCCTGTACAAGGCAGGAGATTCATGAAAGGTGTTTTAGGAGGGTAAGTATCTCGGGTACCTTACGATTGCTCGTGACCAGACAGGAGGACGTGGCACAGTCAATGCGCTCAGTGTCGCCTGGAAAATGTGGGAACAGCCCACCGCTCCACCAGAGGAGAATGGGCAGCTCCTTGTTACTGCGACGGTCGCGGTTCCCTGGTCCTCTGTATGAAACCACGGAGGCAAACTCCATCTCTGAGAGAGCACTCTGAGGCTGAAAGGCTCCTCGGTCAAGTGCATCCAAGGCCTCCAGGGGAAGCACCTGGTCATCTGGAAAGGAGGCAAAGGAGACCCAGACCCAGCACAGGACCCCGAAAAACCCCAGACAAGCAAAGGGCAGAAGCCTGCTCCTACCCGCCATCTGCAGGGGTGAATTGAACAAAGACACACATTTAAAATAAACACCACATTACTGTGTAGGGACAGCAGTATGATTCTTTTTGCTTTATAAATGCGGTCCGCTACGCAAACAATCCAGCGACTTACTCTACAGAGCCAGTGTTTTCAGAGCATGGAGAAACATCGGAATATTCACACTGTTTCCTACCATCATCTCCGCGGCAAACACGTGAAATGGGCTTTTTCTTAGCTTACAAAATAAAACATCTAGCGCTACTTTTCACGTAAGCTCGCTTTGATGAGCAGTGCTAACGAGATGCCCCAAACATCAGTTAACAGCTGACTTCTTTTTTTGTACAGTCCTGATTTTCTTCTTCTTTAGGTCTCAAAAATATCTCACTCTAGCGCCACCTACAGCCCGGGAGTAAGATTGGGTCAGTCAGGTTCAGTTCAGAATCTTTTGATACTTAACGGATTTTGCCACAAATAAACACAACAAATCATACATAAAAACATAGAGTATATGTTTTAAGATAAAAAAAAAAAACCTAGAGATTTATATGAACTTTAAGAAAATACAAAAGTCATTCTAAAAACGAACAACATTAGCAGAATTAATAACACATGTCCTTTATGTCCTAAAATAAGATTATCTGAGGAAACTTGCATTAAATCGGCTCAGCCGAAAAACCATACCACAGTGGGTACACTTCTTGCAAAGCTATCTCCTAATTCAGAGTAAGGTAAAGGCTCAGTCACAAGGAAGGGACAGCGATCTCCTTGCATCTATGGTGGCTGCCTGGTGATTGTATTGAATTTTTGTCACATTCTGCAACCAATTGGGGATTGTGGTAACTAAATGGCTACATAGAGCTTGAGGGTCTTGCACTCTCACGACCACTTTTGATCACAAGACGATTGCATGGGTCACCTGATAGGAGACAACCTTTCTGCAACAGTCACAGTCTGACCTGGACCAACTACAGTCACTCCGAGAGAGATTGTCAAAGGTTTGCTAATAACTGTTGTCTAATTTATAAATGCAGACAGATTGCCAGGTTATTGCCATCAGTCTTGCTGAGTAGAAAAGAGTTCGCCTTTACTGCTGTTAACTACAGTGCAACACTGACAGATCTTGATTTGGATGTTAGTGTAAATCTGATGTTTCCCATTAAAAAAAACATTTTTATTACTTTTACATTTTTGAGGTTTGAGCTTGACTGTACAGAAGAACGTTTGCATAAAGTTGGCACTGCACGATGTGTTCGTAGTTTCTGCTAAAGGGAGAAATTTCACTGAGAAATTCATGAGCTAATGGCTCGTGTGACTGAGCCATTACCTTGATCCAAATGAGGAGGCAGCTTTGTGTGTCCAGTATTGGATGGTTTTTCGGTTGACTTGATTTAATGTAAGTTAAATTAATATCGGTTAAATTTAATGTAAATCAAATTAATGTTTAATGTAAGTTAAATTAAATTAGGCCAGAGTTTAAAACTCATACTTAAAAGATGACTTTGTGACTTTGGAATGAGGTGGGGAACCAATCATGATCCAGTTTTCAGTTTTCACAGGTCAAACGTGGAACTTTAAAGTCTATGGTAGATATTTAGACTTCAACAGTGGAATGAGCAGTTGAAGAGTTTGTATAATTTGATCTTCAAAAATAATATCAGTCTCACAATAGAACTCAGTTCTCAGATTTTTGTGTAAGTAAAAAGTGCCAGAAGTCAGTTTCACATCATGGCTAAACAGAGTTTAGCAGAGGGGGCCACCCTTGTGAGGTCAGTGCCATGAAATGCATCCAGAGTAACATTTAGCAGACCTGAAGTGAAAACCACATCAGCTCAACTGTCAGGTCAGAGCATCTGGTTTTGTTTACTGAGAGACAGAAAGGCCACTTCATCACATCAAGTAGATGTGTCAAAAGAAGGATGGTTAGTTATCTCAGAGAATGAATAGTTGTCACTAAACCACTGTTAGAGAAAGGAAATTAAGTCCAGTTCTGGGTTTAAATG